TCCAGAAGAATGCACACAACACTCAAATACACTAAGAAGTGCTAGAACCCTACAATCGCCGTACACACGCACTGATACCTTGGTCGGCTGTTTCTGCTGGGAGGACCTGACATTGCGGCAGGGGCATCACCGAGCAAATCCATCGGCGAAGGCTGCGTTTTTAAGGGTATATGGATATAGGGTTATAGGGTTGTATGGTTTTAGGGGTTAGTGTTGGGTATTGGTTGGTAGCATATCGAGGTAGAATACAGGGATTGCGAGGGGTACTTTCCTTTACCCTACATATTGTTCTAGGATAACTATATCGACATTCACTAGGGTTGATGAGGTAGGGTTAGTAAATTGGCAGGGTTTTAGGGTTTTATTTGCAATGGAAATGCCAATGGGACAAATTCTGTACATCGAAACCGCCAGCGATTTCAGCTGTGTCATAGTAACGGCGTAGTTTAATATGAACACAATGCATTCAGTCGCAGACATATATTGACTTGAAGCAGCCGAAGCTGATTCACTTCACTATAGGTATATATATGTATATACATATACAAATACACACAAACAAACGCACACACAAACAAACTCACATACACGCACAGACACAGACACAGACACAGACACAGACACAGACACAGACACAGACACAGACACAGACACAGACATACATATATATATATACCTCGACGTGGCGAGTTTTGAGTGTCATGGCTTTCTTTTTGTCTGGGGGCGGAGGTGCCTGTTTGCGTTGCTGTCCACTAGGACTGGCAGAACCTGCTCCTGGGCGAGTATTTCTGGGCCCGCTTTTGTCCCCTGTACCGTAACCAGAGATGGCGCGGGCCGGGGGTGCGTCTCGCACCATACCCTTCGGGCCACTAATGCAATTGGTAGAAAATTAGTGTGTTTGGAATTAGTCTAGTGAGGCTACATTTAATATGAAATTAGTGGGGTGCAGGTATAGTGTGCTCGAATTAGCGATGTATTCGTGCAGCTGTGCGTTTTGAAAACTCAAATGTATGCCGCTGTCACAATACAGCCTTACATAAATAAATATGCAAAAATCGATCTATAAAACATATGATCATACATACATACATATATATATATAACATATATATATATATATATATATATATATTTATATACATTGACATACATACATACATTACACTGATACTGCGATTGCCCATACCTTTCATTGGTTGGCTGTGCGGGTGTATTGGGCAGGCGTGCGTTGAGGTTGCCCATGAGTATGCCACTGTCTGCCTGGAATGTCTCGTCTATGAGATCGTACAGTCCCTCTTCAGGCGCTCCGTGGCCTTCTGCCACAAACAGAGTACCCAGACGATTCACACGCCAAAATGACCCGCGCTTTCCACCCGTCCCGCTATCGTCCCACAGCAATACCGGGGAACCACGCAACGGCATAGCCCAGGCTAAAACAAATAATTTGCAACGGGTTGGTGATTAACGACAAGGTAGAGCTGATCTAATGTAACAAACACCATATAATTCAGTGCCGCCCCGCTATCTTTCCTAAGCAATTCCGGGGCGCATCGCAATGAAAGGGTCCAGGCTATGATGATTGATTAACGACGAGCTGTGAATTAACGACATATTACGGACCATTTGGTTAAAGAGCATTGTCGTCCCGATATCAACCTATACAATACCGGGAATCCTCGCCAGGTCACGGTGCAAGCCATGCAATCTAGTTTTACGACATACAACGAACAGAGTCTCAGTGTTCGGATGTGCAGTGATATATACATCTTTAGAGTAGTTACCAATATAACATACCTTTAGGGATGCATCGGATACAGTCGAGCTCAGGCATGTTGGCCTCAGTAGTCGTCACCATACCAACAGCAATGAAATGGGGTGTCGGAGGAATGGCTCGCCAGCAGTACAAACCTGCGTGCAAGGAACATAGGAGCATGTCAATTTTAGGAACACATGGCACGCACATGATACACACACACACACACACACACACATGCCCACACCACACCCACACCCACAGACACCCACAGAGAGAGACACACACAGACATATATATATATATATATATATATATATACTTCTATATACGAACAAACTTATGAACATAATAATACCCACTGCAAGAAAAAAAGTGTTGATGGGATAGCTCGCCAGCAATATCGACCAGCGTACGGGGCCGCACGCACATAGTCACTCGCAGGAGTATGCGACACTGACACTTGCAACAGAATACGACTCAGTCCACACACTTCAATGGGACACGAACACACGATCAAATGAATCACCATCACATGTCAGACAATCAATAAGTATTGCTGTTTTACGACTTTAACTGAAACTTTGGAGTTCTGTTTGACGACTTTAACGTTAACTTTAACTTTGGAGTGTTGTTTTAACTTAAACTCTGTGCGATTGCTATCTTAACAGTCCTGCATGTGAGGACTGAACGGATGGGAACATGTTCGGTACCACACAGCAAATGCTATAGATGAATGAGACTCGTACGAGTCAGTGCACACACCAGTAGGCGAAGCGGAGGGATCGGCTTTGTCATCTTCAGTTTGTGACCAGACGAGCTGTAGAACGGGATAGTGATATGGCATGATATATGAGACAGAATAATAAGTACCAGATATATTGTATAGAATAATATTAGATAGAATAATAGATATAGGATATATTAGATAGAATAATAAGAACAAGATAGACTGTATAGGATATTAAGTATAAGATATGTTATATAGAAGAATATGAATCGTAGACCTTATATAGAATAATTGGTCTATGATATATTATATAGAATGACAGGTATAAGATATATTGTATAGAATAATAGGAATAGGATATATCTTACATAGAATAGTAGGTATAGGATACATTCAATAGACCTATAGCTATAGATGTAATAAGAATAGGATATATCTTACATAGAATAGTCGGTATAGGATACATTCAATAGACCTATAGCTATAGATGTGAGCTATAGGTGAATGCAGTACATGATTAAATGTACCGAATATCTAGCACAGTTGTGCCATAAAGTGATGCGATACGAATGTATGGCATATGTGTCTGGTGCATTGTAAGGTATCAGTAGTTATTGTAAACTGTAAACCCTAACCCAAACCCAAACCATAAAACCCTAAAATCAGTGGTTGTACACCCCTTAACCCTAACCCTAAGCGTAAAACCCTAAAATCAGTGGTTTTAGACACTTATTCGTGGCGAATAAGAGCCAGAATGAGATAAGGTTGTTCCGACTTCTACGTAATAGTGATACATGTTCCGACTCTTGCACATTCCATTACGAGACAACCCTTATCTTCACTAGAGGCGCATCAATGTGACATACCACAAACACTAGCACACACCTTGAAATGCAGGAGGTCATGCATGTACATTAATATAATATACAAACACACACACCTTCAAGTACACATGTACATTGATATAATACACAAACACACACAAACGCACACACCTTGAAGTTGACTGGATGTGGGACCAGCCAGTTGAGCACACCGTCCGTGAGAATCTGCGACTTAAACAGCGACGAGACGGTGTCATCAGTCAATTCCACGGCTATACCATCGATCGGCTCACCCAGCTCCTTACCTATATACTCACCCACGGAGAAGGCGATTTTGTTCTTACCCTTGACCCAGGCTTCCTTGAATACGGGCTGCCACACACTGCCTTTCTTGCGGGTGTTTTGTCCCTTGCTCTTCCATTGCAGACGGTAGTGGGAGACTGGCTTAAGGCTCACCTGTGTCAGAGTTGGGGGGGGGGTGAGTGGTGTGGTTGAAGGGTGATGGTGAAGTAGAATACACAAACACACAAACGCGT